ACACAAATATACAAACAAAAAAAAGCTGTAAAAATCTGCAGTTTCTCTGCAAAAAACCTGCAAAGAAACTGTAAAGATTTTTTTGCAGATCTGCATCAGATCTTTGGTCAAATCTTGGCACATCTGCTTCAAATCTGCAGAATCCCTTTGCAGAATCCGCAAAGTTACTGCAAAGATTTTTCCAGATTTATGTTGCAGAAAAATCACCTGGCCAGAATCAGACTCCATTAGTATATAATTCTATTTTACTTCTTCTACAAAGTCATGAGTGAAGTATTAAACCATAAAAAACGCTGTGGAAAATGCCATCTTATGGATGCATCATGAAATTAAACGTTTTCAACCGGTCAAGCGAGAAATCATACAAAATTAGGCGAGTTGTCATTTTATACAGAATAGTGTACTTCATAAAACAAACGTTCTGCAAGAATTTTGAGTTTTGTTTTACTAGCTAATACTGTTGAAATTCAAAAATCTGTGCACTTTCTCAAAATATTTTTAAACTTGAATAAGAATCGTGTTAGACTTTATTTTATCAGAATTCTCTTTGTTCAGTTTTTCATCCTCTTTCAAATGATATGTTTGGAAGCTTTTTTCGTTGACGTTTAATGTGAAACAATTCCACTTTTTCGAGTCTTTTAGGCCTCTGTTGATAAAACCTAAACAAACCTTCATAGAAAACGTTGTTCATCTTTTGGGTGCTTATGAAAGTACATGCGAAGTCATGTGTCCGAAAAAAGTTCAACTCAAATGTCGATTATTCAGATACACCTCATTCACCCTCTCGTCGACTGCCCTATCTTAGATGATTTGATTTTTATCGAAAAAATATCGCCTTGGAAAAGGGTCATGAAACTTTATTTTTAAATTATTTTACAATTTGAAGAGGCGAAATGTAATGAATGCTCTTTTATTTCCCTGTAGGACATTCATGAAGACCGGATGCATACCATGCACTACACGTTCGATCATTCTCGTGTCCATGTTCACATCTTGGAATTCGGCCACCACCACGAACACACCAGCGACATGTTGGAGCCATACCAAGACAACCAGCACAATCACGAAAAACTGAACAAGAGTAACCTATATAAGGCAGAAGAATGTCGTCATTATAACTGAAATTGAATTGACGAAGGTTTGAAAGTTTTAGCCTTGCGATTACTATTTACCGAAGGCTCCCACGATCCGATATGAGAACTTTTTCTGTTACAAATTGCGCATTGATAGATCGCTTACTTACTCTTATCCATGATGTTTCCACGATATTCAGGGTCTTTCAGTTCGTCAGCTGTAATCCCTGAAAAAAAACACATATAGTACATGCTAAAAGCCGGTTATAGAGATAGAATTCCTACCGGCATTTGCTTGAGAGCTGAGTAATAATACAGGAATACTGCATATAATAAATAGAATTTTAAACATTCTGCTTTCTTCCAATGCTTAATATGATGAGATATAATAGACTAATTGATAAAATTACATATAGTATATATATATAGTGTATTTCAAGAGTAGTTCTTGTTTGCAATGTTAATGTAAAGTCATATCAGATTACTAATAAGACTATAAAAATAACATACAGGCTCTGAATCTCTTCCTGAAAAGTGCAAGCTATACTTGTCAAATATTATTGATGTGTATTGAAAAAGAGTGCGTGAAAGAAGCTCGTAAGTCACGAGGCGTGACGTATATGACATATTTGAGTACCTGTCAATATTTAATCGGAGCAAATATACATTCTATAATAGTATCTTGATAAAGAAAAGGAAACTTTGTTTCTGGATTATGAAAAGGACGTGACGTCTAAGATCGCTGTTTTCTACGAAAGCAATAATGTTTCTGCACATTACTTTGCATTTTTGTTTTGTTAACATGAATACAATGATTTTATTATCATTTGAAGTCTCTTTCAAATAAAAGTACAACATTAAAATTTTACCAGAATATTGATCTGATGCGAGAGATGTTATAAAAAAATTTCGATCAAAATTATCTACAATTAATCAGACTAGAGAGAAAAGCAGTGGTTTTTACATTAACTTGTTAATGTCGAAGTTTGTTTCTTAAAATATTAACTAGATCGATTATCGGTTCCGAAATATATCAGCCCTGGATATTTTTAATGCCTAATATATTCTTTCAAAAATATCTACCAGAATTCAATGTGGTTTTTTTAGCAAAGTCGAGTTTAAACATCAAAAAGATTTAGTATGGATAGGCGAAGTTTAGGTTGCAGTTGTACCATACCAATATCTTAATTACTGCAACTGGCTTCTTGAATGAATTTTTAAACATTTTTTATTTTATTTGTTGTAAGTCATCCAGAAATAAATCGATTTTTAGGATTGCAACATGGTTCGCTTGATAGTAAGTTATTTTACCCAATAACTATTGTCCTGTTACTGTACTTCATCTGTACAATTACCAAACTAAAAATAATTTACTAACGCCGTTACAGTCTGGGTTTCGCCGTCGTGATTCTACAGTGAATCAGTTAATAGACTGATACTAGAAACTTTTGAACATCAAAATATCATACTCATGTTTAAGACAGTAAAAGGCTTAGCTCCCAACTATCTAGTCGAGAAATTTTCAGTTCATAAGTATAGTAGTATTCATCAGACTAGATCGCAAGTGGAGAATAAAATTCAAGGCAATTGGGTCATGAATAAGCGTTTTCATAGCAAAAGATTTGAAAACACATTCTTTCCTACCGGTATTAAGAGCTGGAATGAATTAAGTAAAGAAATGCGTGTATGTAATAGTTTAAAAACCTTCCGATCAAAACTAAAAACAACTATAGACGCTCTAGAGAGAGTTTTCGCGTGTATGGCGTTAAACGCACAGTAGACAAAATATACCACCAAATGCATTGTGGTTTCTCGTTATTGAACAACGATTTGTGTATTAAAACACTAGTACCTAGTAGTAGTAGAAAGAAACAGGGAAGCACCATTTACTAGACTGTTCTCTCTATGCCAGTCAGCGAGCTAAACTTTTTAAATCCATAGAAGATTCGATACCTAGCGTGGATTGTTCTCTTAAGACTCTGCTGCTTCTTCGCAAGGAACTGTGTAAGGATCATTACTCTGTTATGTATCGTGCAGTTATATGTTATATAGAGGAATGTTTAAGATTCGATATTTAAAAGTGTATACTTTTTCTTTGTTGTGCCACACCCTTCCTCACTCAATTAATGTGTTTCGTTTTGTTCGAACGTTTTTCTTGCTCTTTTTACTGCTTATTTGCTTCAACATTAGGCTTCCAGGAATGGTACAATGATTAGTCGATTCCACCCGGGATCCTACTAGCTTTATTTTACTTTTCTTTTTACTTTTATGAAATAAAGTTTAAACAAACAAACAAGTAATTTGTTCTTTTTGAAATGTTTTCCATTCTTGTTGGAAATTGCTTTTACTTGTAAGAACTTTGATTTCAACACAAAATACCATATTTTCAAGATTCAAATGACATTCTAACTTGTAGTTTCATTGATACACTCAAATTTTTGAGCAAGTGAAGAGACAAGAACACATCGTAGTCAGAATTACATTGATCGTCACAAGTACAGAATCAATTCGTGATATTGTTTTAGAAATCAAATGCAATCTATAGATTAATAACAATAGTCCAATGATTTAAATTAACGGAAGAATAATTAAACAAACGAGTAGTTTCTCACAGTCTCAACATTTGCGTATCATATTACATATGGCATCTGGCCCATCTTTAAGCGTTCTCTACGAATATAGACAAAAAAGAACTCATTATCATCACTCTATTTCATTGCTCTATTTAATATATGCTACATTCTAGAGTTTGAAAGAAGTTTCAAAAACTCATAAATTACATGAATTTTGCAAGTGTTCTGTGCAAGTCTTTGAAAGTAAGCGAATTTTTTCAGCTGATCTCAAGTAGGTATGCACCAATTACAGATTTTTACCGGTTAGCTGTACTTGTAAAACTGCTGATACTGCAAATACTCATAACTTTAGGCAAATATTCAAGAGTAATTAGTCTTGTAATATTTGCTGCATACATTTTAAGAATGTCCCTATTCTTAAAATCTATGCAAATCGTAGAAGACTAACTCACTCTAGAATATTTCCCTACAGTTATGAGTAAAGGGATGAACACGTTAGAAGACCCACGTAGAATAGAGAATCCCCCTTGAATGAGCGAAGCAAAAAACAGATTAGAAGACCCCCCTTAGAAAAGGTTGATTTTTTGAGAATTTTAGCAAATTTTTTTACTTCTTTGCACTTCTCTGTAGTTGAAGCGCAAAAATATTAATTAATAGAGTTGCTTCGACAATTCTCCAGTTCAACCAGGTCATATAGCCTGCTATAGATTTGATCCGAGTTGTGCCAAATCAGATCAGTCAGAGGCATCTGACAAGAATAGTGATTCAGATTCCCTGGAACACGTAAAGTTATTGTAGCCAAGATCTTGGGTTAAGAAATGTCACAAGATGATGGAAAAAACATCAGGAAGTCAAGATCTTGGTTTCTTAAATCTTTCACTCAACATCTTGGGAACGTCAGATCTTCACTGAGTCCACTCAAGCTGTTGCAAGAGCTTGAGTGAAAAAGTTTCTTTACATTTTGTTTTTATTTATGACAGTCATAACCATCGGTTATACGACCATACAGAGTAATAGATTCTTCCTTAAATAACTACGTTCAAGAAGGAAAAAAAATCGCAGTTATTTTAAGTATAAAAATATCCGCAATCATATTTACGCAAGAGTGTAAAAACAAAAGCATGATTCAAGACTTCCCAAGATATTGATCTAAGAAGTCAAAAGATTGCAAGATGTTCAAGATCTTGACTTCTTGAAATTCTTTGAATTCTCATATTTTCTTAATCGAGATCTTACTGAAAAAATTCAAAAAGTCAAGATCTGGGTTACAAGAAGTTTCACTAAGGTTGTAATTAAAAATCAAAATAAACAGTTACCATTGAAAGATATGCGGAGAAATAAGTAAATGTATTTTTTTTTTGTTGTTCTACAAGAGTGAAATTAACAGTTTTTCTTGTGTAATTTACTGTATTATGTAAAGAAAAATACTGCGATTTTGAACTGCGTGTTTTACTGCTGAGGGTATCGAAAAATATGACTTTTATACGGGACACAACAGAAGATCCCCGTAAAATTTGTGAACGATAGGACCCCGAGTCTTCTAATGTGTCCATCCCTTTATCTACAGTTTTTACAGTTACAGTTTTACATTTGACTGTAACTGGTGGATGCCTAATCTCAAGTATAAAATCAGGGTATCTATCCCAGACGGTTTCTACTGCTTCCAGAACATCTGACTTCGAAGAGCTTTATTCATTTCATCCAAACTTCTGGCTTT